GAGATGTATCCATAGATCTCTTAATGTTGCTCTCAAAGTGCACCAGATTGATGCTTTTAACTTCAATATTTAAAAAAAAATCTTCTCGGAGGACCCCCTTAGAGGAGGTGAGGACCCCACTAGAGGAGGTTAGGTCCACGGTGTTTACATGCTTATTTATACAATATGTGTGCTTATGCTAAAATCATATGACAAAAGTTGGTTCCGTGTTGTGTGTAGTGAGAATGCGCTAGAGTGAGGGGGGCCCCCAAGCCAAAGCTCGGTTAGGGCCCCCAAAAGTCTAGGACCGGCCCTGGTTTTAACACTGGGTGGCTTACTGGTATAAAAGGTTGGATGGGTAACAGGAGGCAGTGATTGAGGCTCTTGCGTGAGCACACAGTTGTTGACCGTTAAGCAATGCACTGTGGTCTGGTTGTAAATAAATGGTATTACAAGTAATTAGCATTGTTGTTGAGCCCATGTAGCCCACTAGTTTTACCCAGTTTAGCAATCCCGGACCCTTGATGACATTGAAGGTTTCTCATTTCTCTAATTTCCCCTCCTCGACGTCCTCGACTCATCGAATCCTCGGTCCTCCGGTAGTGACCCGGAAATGGATTTCAGCGTGCCATGTTGAAGGACATCACATTTCTCTAAACGCCTGCTGCTTCCCCTCCTCTCTCCTCGGTTCCCCTCCTCGACTCCTCCGCTCACATCTCCTGTGGGCTAAGACACGAGGATAGGAGTCGAGGAGAGGGATTAGAGAAATGAGAAACCTTCATTGAGTAGCAGTGTTTACCACATTCACCTTAAATCTGCCTTCCTGGTCATAGGAGTTGACTATTGGCTCCACCAAGTGGAATATTTCAGTATTGCAGCCTGCCCCACAAATACTTTATAGATGAATGTGCTGACCATCAGGCGCATGATTGTCACCTGATTGTCAGCTCCTGTCAGCAGAGTGACCAACACAACCACGTTGGCTGACTTGGGACAAAAGCTAATTGAAGAATGGGAAGCCATCCCACAGCACTGTGTGACCAAGCTGGTGACAGCATGAGGAGGAGAGGTTGCTGTGGCTTCTATGATTCTTCCATACGCTATTGAGGCTGCTGTTTGTTAAATAAATAAATTGTTGAATTGCCAATATGTCCTGTTTCATCAGACTTCAATCATCCAATCCACCAAACAAGAGTCAACAGCTAAAAACAGCTGTTTGGCATTGGCAAAGAAGAACCGGCAAATGTTTGATGGGCGCACCCCACATACTCAGCTCTGCTGCTCATCCCACAAATGCTTGTTCCTCACAAATGTGGCACCATTTATACAGAAAATAAACAGGCTTTCCAATGGTATAATATTATTATTTATATTTATTTTTATAAACACATGAACAAACTTTGTGTGAGAAATGTGAATATTTTTGTAAAACTCTGAAGCTACACATTTTATTATTTGCTGGTTTACAGATAATTATAGACACCCACAGGCTCTGATATTAATCACTCAACATATTTTCACAGTGTCCAAACCTATGCTTAGTTCACGTCACCTGAACATAGCCGAATGACACGAGTAGATATTCAAGTTCATTGAAACGTTATACTGTATATGTTCCTAGTGTTCATCTCTTACATGCAAACAGACAATAAAGTGTGGAAAATGATGAGTGTCCAGGTGGAACCTGAATTGACAAAGGGACAGATTAATTTAGTGTGGTCTTTCCTATACAAAAATATTCAAATTTAAATAAGAAGACAAATGCCTATAAACAACCTGGCAACATGAACTGGAAATCAAAACTTTATGAAAGATAGTCAGATAGTTCTTATTGTCAACCAATCTCATGATACGACTAAAACCAACAGGAAATGTAGGACTAAAGGTATTGTCTGCGTATCATATCGTGATACAGTATATCTTCTTCCTATGTGTCAAAAAAGGCGATATTTCCTAGTGACCAGCAGTTTAGGAGAAGTATCCTACTAAACATTTTTTTCCTCCTAGCGAGTCATGTTGCTCTCTGGATGTCGATCATATCGTCCATCACTTTGGTTCATACTTTAGTTTCAGTTGAAAGCTTAAATGTGTTCAAAAGTTTGGACAAGACCGACTCCCTACAAAAGTAATGACATTCACATGGGCCTGTGTTATGCTGATTAGCTTATTCAACGTTATCATGATGGTGAACATGATTATGCCTTGTTAACATCAGAATGTTAATTTGCTGTAAAAACCCTGTCAGCATAAAGTTTAAAACACTGCAATGCTAAAACCTGCATAGAGTGGTGCAGTGATGATGTATCTTTGTAAGCAGACACTCTTTTAGCAATGTCTTGGAGCTCTACCAAGTCTGGAGGGAGTATCTGGCTCTACAGTTGCTAAGTGCAACCCCCAGCTATTTTCTAACAGTCTGAGTGCTGTTTGATATGCCTCTTTAGTAGAAAACTGGACAGCTTTAAGCTAAGAGCCACAGATAGAAAGACAAAGTGATGATTTTGTTTTTTTTGGATTTGTTGATAAGAAGAAAGCATTAGATTTTAAGTAAAAGTATGTTTGTTCTGTATGACTGTGAAGTGTGCTTCATGTAAACATACCTGACTGATCCCCTCCACTCTTTGGAGCTGAGGTGACATACTCTAAAGAAACAAAGACATCTTGTTAACCCACAGTATCACAGCATGTATTATTTTTGATGGACTGTTAGTCCCGTCTCAACCTGTCAGACTCACCTGACATCCTGAACAGCTCCATGCTGTAGTCAGAGAACTCGTGGGGTTTGCTCACTGAACAAACGTGAGCACCAAAATCCTCCATGTCGACGTGTTGGATGGTTAGTGTGATGCTGCCGGGGCTGTAGCTGATGGTGTACCCCCTGGTGCAGTTCTGGTAAGCTTTGTGTTTGATGTAGTGACACAGCAGCTGGTTGTTTGGGCCCCTCCACTGCACAGACAGCTGAGGGATGTGTGTGTTATCCTCATAGTTGTACGAACACGGAAGGGTGACTTGCTGACCAGGCTGACTCAGCACTTTTACAGCACTGCCTGGGGACAGAAGAGCATTGAAGAGGTCCTCCACACTGACACACCCAAACACAGGCATCTCTTCCTTTGCAACTGCCACAGGGCTTCAAGCCTGTTTAAATCACATCTCAATATCACGCGGTGGTGAAAGAAATATTCAGATCCTTTACATGTAACTGTGAAAATACTTTACTTCAATTTAAATCTGATCAATTAATCTGATCATAATTTTCTCAATGAACTGTTTGGTAAAGTACATTTCCAAAACATCTTGTCAATGTGAAAAGCAATGGCTTTATATGTCTTGTTTTGTCAGTCCAAAACCCAAAGATTTTCGGTTTAGATATGATGGAAACAGTAAAAAGCAGGAAAATCTACATATTCAAGAGGCTAAAAATAAGCGTAAAAGCTTATTTGATTCTCACTTTTTAGTCAACCAATTTTTGCAGCTCTACATTTTTCAGTAACATCTTCCCTATCAGTGTTGTTATTTGCTGTATTTATGTTTATGTTGCATTTTTTCTCATGTATATGTTTGTGATTGTACTAATTTATATTCTGTATTGGCTATTTTAATCTACTACAATGCAACATATTCTATAAAATGTGTTAGCAGATACATTTTCTGTAAAAAGACAACTTTTCACAAGCTCAGAGATACAGCCCTGTTGTTTTGTTGATGCATTTCCATTTTTTTTGCACTTAAGAATTATGAATACTTTCCATACCTATAAAGGAACACTTAATTCATCAGTTTGTCACAAACATCAGAATATCAGAGATACATGGTGTTCACTGGACAGGAAAGTGATGACAAACTTTAACTGGAAAATAAATCAGTGTCATTCTTTGCTAGAACTATGAAGCCAGACGTTCAACAGTATCAGTCATGGGTGGTATTTAAACACAAATAACTCCAAGGGATACAATTGTCGATAAAAGAAACGTCCTATATGTTAAATTAAATCTGATTATCTGTGTCATTGAACCTACCTTCTCCAGCAATTTGCGACATAATTATTCCGAGGAACAGCGCAGCCGTCGCAGTCTGTTCTAGAGGTGTGCTCCACATTTGGTGATGGATTCAAATACTTGAGTTCATGAATATAATTCAGGAATATCAAAAACCTCCAGCAGAGAGTTCAGAGATGATGCCTGCCTTGTTTCACTTTTGCTTTCAGTGTTATATTTAGCTGCATGAGATAGCACTCTGTGGTTACCAGGCATCATAAGGATGCTTGTAATAAGATCATATGTTTTGGTTTTAGTTTTAAGTGTATTTGTGTTTTTAGGGGGTTTAAACAACAAAAACAGCCTGTACACAAGATGGCTACATCCTTTCTAATGATCAAATCAAAAGATGACACAGAGAAAGTCAGACTCTGAAGGGTCGAAACTTAACAAAATAATAATATAGATTTTTTGTTTTATGTCATATATTATGTGTATGCTTTTATTACGCCAGTACCATTTAAACCACACTTGTGTCTCCTGCCAGCAGGTGAAGCTTCTCTTGCCCAATGTGAGCAGTCTACAGTGCAAATGATATGTTTACACACTGGTGACTTCAATGTGCTTTCAGCCATCATGTAAACATTTTTATCGGAAACACGTTGAGAGCGACTTTTCCTAATAATTATGTTTATTGAAATTCGTACCATGCCATTTCTTCAGATACTATTTTCAAGAATAGAAAAGGTTGGTTGAGTTAGATAGTGACCCCAGATTTGCAAAGCTTACACAGGAAGGTTAAGGTTGGGCGATTGATCATAATTGATCAAGTTAAACTTTCCCCCAACTCTTATCAGTTCATCTTTACATCCAACTGAATGTTTTGCCAAATTGAAATGAATTTGCACCGGACCACACTAAGACAATCAGCTATAATGAAAGGTCAGAGGTACAATTAGTTTTATTTATGCATTTAGGATATTTATATTAATAAATGATCTTGCGAGTTGTGTTTGTGTATAAAGGATAAACGCAACATCACATCACTCAAATCACAGAAATCTGTTTAATATCAATCAGTGCCATTTATACAAATAGACTTTTTGTTTTCAAACACACTCACAGTAAAATACTGTCTTAGCTAAACTTCCTTTGTATGGAACTACTGACCACAATAACATTATCACACTGTGCACAAAAAGGAGAACACACTGTACACTGCCACAGGCCCACTGAGGTATATGTACAAATACACACACACATGCACTCACACACATTCAGTCTCATTGTGAAGTTTATTTACAGGTGCTCCACCATCTTAAATACGACTCATCTTAACACTTATGTACAAACTCGGTGAACGGAAACTGATCAATGATTTATGAAAGTTGTTGACTTCAGGCCTCGTGCAAGAACCTCGTGTGCGAAGACAGAATTTTAACATGTACAAAATGACTGAGTATGAATAAAAATACTCAGTTTTCTACAGGGGAGAAACACCTGTTTGACTTAAAAATCTAAATTCCAATAATACATTTATGTTGTATTCATATGGTATTTTATTTATATAGCGTAACCCCCTCTCACGGTCTGATTTACCTGACTTATTTTGTAGATATGGCAAATTTTACCAGTTTGTTTTATTCAGCTTGCTTTGTTAGTTATTTCTCTCTTTCTTTGCATTATGTTGTTCATGTTTTCAAGACATCATAAAACTAAATGAATAAAATAATCGTATTTTCTCAATCTGATATGTACAGCTTGAATGTTACTATAATAGAAAATAAATTAGTAAAACAAAACTTAGCATTGTGCCAATTGACTGAGATTTTTTTTGATTTTTAAAAAACAAACAAATCAAAGGGCTGCATTGGTGGGAGTGTGTTTCTTCAGGTATTTGAACATTTGAGTTCCACATTGAAAAGACTGAAGGCTTACCAGACTCCACAACACTCTACTGTGATAAAAACGTACAATAATACAGAACTTAATACCTGTGCAAAGCAGAGACTTGTGTCTTTCTTTTATTTTTTGGGCCAGAGTGCCTTTTTTAAGAGATATCGTGGTAAAGGTGCGAATCAGACGGGAGGACATTGCCTGAAAGTTCGTCGAGGCAGATTCTAACCTGTGTACTGAACAAAGGACTTCACCTACTGGCCACTCAGCTAAATGGCAGCCTGTAACAAAACAATCTTTAACCAAATGTTTTTTAGCATTTTCAATTCAGAGCGTTTCCCCTTTATTTAGAAGTATGGTTCTAGTCTAATGTGAAATTGTCTTTAGCTGTATTAATATATTCAAATACTGAGTGATACTAATGTTACTTTTTTGGCCTGCTGATTTCTTTAAAAAAAACAGACTTAGATCTCCACTGTTTTTCAGCCTATGATGTGTTTGTGAGTTAACAGGTGGCCCCGATAAACACAAGAGGTTGCATTCATCAAGTTTGAACAACAAATGTGTGCACTTAAGCAAACCTCAAAGCAAAAATAAAAAGAGGTTCATTATGAGAATACAATCATAATCTTGCATGAGGCCTGACGTGTTCTGATTTTAATTGTTGATTCACATTTTTGTTCTTGTGCTGACAGTTTTGAGTGTTCTAAGGGAAGTTAAGATGTGCTGAGTGTACCTGAACTGTGCTGTGCAGACTCTCCCTGATCCGCATTATCCATCATCACGGCCGACTGGAGGTTAAAGTTGGGCTACTAAACATGTTTCCAGCTTTAGGGCCAGTTTGTTGCACACATATTGGACTGAAGTGACCATCTATAGTTCAGTTAGCCCACTTAGCACCAGTGGTAAACCTTTACTTCAGAAAAAGACAGTGCTTAGGTGTTGTTACTTCTTGTGTGTGTCTTTTGTGCCCAAAGAAGTACCTTACCACCCTGCTGCTGCTACTGTGAAGTACAAAATGATGTCACAAAACCAATGAGACACATAAACCATCACTGTACAAATGCATGTAATATTTTACTGTTTTAGTTTTCCTTCTGCTTGTGCCATTCCACTGGCTGGTGATGATGCAGCGCTTACTGGATGCCTCGGAACAAACACATCGCAAACACCATGGCGAAGAGCTGCAGAGAGTAAAGAAACAACTGTCATTCCCCTGTATGACATGGTTGCAGTGTTATATTTTATACTGTGCTGTACTTTGCAGTGAACTGGGTCAATTATCTGCAAAGAGTCAGTATATTTGAAATTACTAAATTATCTTACAGCAGATTTTGCAATAATAGTGTCAACTGCAATAATAAGTGCTCCGGCCCCAGCTGTGTGCATCTCTTTTTAGTGTCCCCGTTTCGGCGGACATGTTTTGGTGAGTTATTCTTCATTTGTATGTGTTTTGGCACATTTGTGTTTTTATATTTGCAGAGTTCATGAAAGTGCAGCGCGTTTCTTCTAAGGGAAATGTTTTGGGCCGTTGTAGCACATTTGCAAATGTCGACAACTGTACTACTCCTGTTTAATATGCACACACACATACAAACCCTTTTTTATTTAAATTTGAATAAAAGCTTGCTTTAAATAGCATCAACACAAATAATTCATAAAATGATGCATGAAATCAGCATCCTAAAAGATAACCTGTAAGGAAAGTATGTTTATTAAAAGGAATTGATCGGATTTCTTTGGTGTAGAAAGTGGCAGTTTTAGATGTATTATTTCTGTTGAAAACCTAAGTGTGATTATTGTTAACCTGCATCGCTGTCCTAAATCCCTGGCATAAAAACCTGGCATAAAAAGAAATAACAGGCGATAGACATTATTCAGTGTTTTAAAATATAAGGAAATGAGGAAACAGAACATACTTCAATAGTCAGCACCACGATGGCCAGAGCTCCTGCGGTGTAAATGTACATCTCAAAGTAGTCCACCACGGCAGAGTAACAGCCCTGCATGAATGAAGCATACAGCGATATGAAGAAAACTGCCTGGGTATGACATTTTTTTTATATTTATCTAAGACAGCCATATGGTGATGTGTCCGTTTAACTGGAATAACGGGTTAGAATTAAAATACTTGTTGAATTATCAAACAATATAGTGTTTATAGACTTCTTTTTTTTTTTTAAATATCAATACTACAACTCATCAAATATTGATTTCAGGAATATTTATTAACTGAATAAATAAATCTGCATATTACCTTGTTGTGTCTGAACACCATGCTGCCGCTCACACACTGCTCCATACTGACGTCTCCGGGGTAACTGTTCCCCTGGCAACAGGCCTCTGGGACCATTTTAGTGGGGCTGAGGAGCCTGAAGAGGCTCTCGTCGAAGTCCTCTGGGCCACTCACACCACAGCAGTCGAACTGTACACAGACACATGAAGGGAGGGGTCGATTAAAGGTGGAGAGGAGGGTGAAAAGAGGAGGTTAGTGTAGAATCAATGCTTCACCGTGGTCATGATGGCGTTCCAGGTGGATGTGAGGACGTCAGTGTTGTTGTGACCTTGGTAGTGACGTTTCAGCTCCCTGCTGAAATACTCTCTCGTCAACTGGAAGTAGACACGAACACAGAATAGTTTAGAAACCTGGAAAGTAACTAAGAACATTTACTCAAACTCTGTCTGAAACCAGAGCCCAGTCTGCTCTGATTGGTTAGTTGGCCGGCTCTGTTGTGATTGGTCAACCTCTTAGAGATGAGTTGGAAATCTCACGTACAATGTGTTGGTGCGATAGCATATAGAAGCGAAAGTGTTACATAGTGATGTCACTATGTTACTGAAGAAAACAAAGGAGTCCAATGGAGGTGTTTCAGGCAGGGGGGGAGAGAAATGGAGGGAGCTTGGGGATATTAGCCTCTGCAGATCATTTACATGCTCAAAAACTATACAACACACTACCGGAAAAGGAAATTGGGCCTTTTTAAGTCACATAATTGGGCCTCTTAAGTTCATTTTAGGTAGCCTAAATGTACTGTACTGTAAATAGGGAATGGGTGGGATGAAACCCTCTTTAATGGTCACACATGCAGACCACAAAGCCCACACATTGAAATGTAGTCTCTGCTTTTTACCCATCCTAGTACTAGGAGCAGTGGGCAGCTATTGTACAGCCCCGGGGAGCAATGGGGAGTGTGGGGGCGACATGTGACTTGCTCAAGGGAACCACAACAGGGGACTTGAACCGGCAACCCCACGGCTCCAAGCTCCTACTGACTGAGCCACTGCCGGACTTGAGTATTTCCATTTTCCAGTACCTTTTTTTCTTTTACTTATTTTTACCACATTTCAGAGAAAAATACTGTGCTTCTTACTCCCCTGCATTTGTCTGATAACTTAAGTTCATTGGCCAATACAGATTATTGATACAAAATATAAATAAGTGCATCAATGGGATAAGCAACCCAGAAGAATACAAATAGAATCAGCTCCACCTTTAGAAGGAGCAACATTCAATTAATGCACATATTAATGCATCAATAATTATAATCAATTATATAATGTCTATGATTGGGAAATTATTCTACGTTTTAGTACTTAAAGCATATTTTAATGCTTATGCTTGTAAACTTGTACTTTACTTGAATGCAGGGCTTTTCCTTATGGCAGAGTATTTTAACAATATAGTAATGCTATTTTTACTTAAGTGAAAGATCTAAGTACTTCTTCCGCCTCTGATCAACTCTTAGGCCCCTACACACGGCGGCGTGTGTTGCCGCTTCAACGCTTCAGCCCATTCACTTTGAATGGGGTGACGTCACGATTCGCCGAACTGCATGGTGGGAGCAAAGCGTAGCTTCTCTTGCGGTGCTCGCTGCAAAAGTAGAGCAATGTTCTACTTTTGACACCTCGACGGAGGCGTCAGCCAATCAAATCATATGCCAGTACAAGCTCTAGCCAATCAAACCGCGTGCTTGTGTGTCTGGGGCGGGAGATTCATGTGATTGGTTGTTGGTCGAGTTTCAGCCCCCCCCGCCGGCAAGTGACAACGCACCCCGCCGTGTGTAGGGGCCGTTAAGGTACGATTGTCGGTCTGTTAAAAACACTACGTTACAACATAGCCAAACATTAGAGAAACAAAATATGTACTGCTTCAAACAAAGGATAAAATCTGCAATAGATATTCATGTGCCTCCCATGTCTCTGTTCACACATGCTCATTGTGATTTAAACCTTGGAATAACATCTTGGCACCACCCAGGGAGACTCAAGGGCCAAAGTTCAACACGGAGAAAGTTCAACTTTGCTTTGCCTCCCAGGGGAAACAGAAAAACCCCACTGATAGTTACGCCAACTCAACTAGGATATAAAACAAAAGATAATCTGATCCTCATGGTTCTTATAGCTTCACGATTCTCTATGAACTTTAATTAGCTTCTGGGCTACACTTAACATGTCCACAACTTGACGCTTCTTAAAAGGAAAAAGAAAGTGTGAACAGGGTTGAAGCTCAAACTACATTTTCTGCATCGATGTAGCTGCAGCTGTCTGCATGACATCAATTTTTTTATCTGTCTTTGAGGGTGCAGGTCAAACTTCTACAACCACACCGACTTTACATGTTGACTGCACCTGATCGAACACATCTGCTACACTGATAGACAACAGACTGTGTGTGGCGACATCCATACATCTTTTTACCATCAGCTGTTGAGTAAGGAGGCCCCTGACTTCCCCAGCTTCCATACCCATAGTGCAACTTGACAGATAATTTTACAGTATTTGTTTTTAAAGATGTTTTAAAATTCATATATATAACTAGAGAGCTCGTAAAAAAATGTCAGACCCCTCCAATGTCATGTATACAGAATACAAACTGTAACCATCAGGTAGATGCTAAAGGGTTCACGTTAAATACAGGAAAAGAAGAAGTAAAAGTAAAACTTCTAAACCCTGGACATAAGGACGGTGTGAATGAGGAGCGTAGATGAATGCACTTTATGTTGGCAATTAGCAGCGTGAATGCACTCCACATCTGTTTAATGATATGTTTTATTTTATTTAGCAGACTTTATATCCAAGATCAATTTCCCTAGGGACAATTAAAGTGATTTTGAACTTTTAGCTCCGTTGAGACAGTACTCACATGCTCCCTGAAGAGGAACGCCAGGATGGCAGCCGCCAGCTCGGCCAGGAAGATGAAGAGGATGAGCATGAAGAACTGAAAACAGTGAAGAAGAAATAATTAGTGTAGTCTAGGCAACGTATTTTTATAAAGATATTCTAATAATTATAGTTATACTCTGTAAAGAATGTCAAATGCCTAGTTATGACTCAAGACATGAATATTTTGACAAAAAACATAATTAAATTGTCCGTTAACTCAACATAAAGTGTACCGAGTGTGAATAATAGTTTGTCCATAATGAATTTGTCTGGTGAAGTAATGGCTGAATAAAAAAAAGGATTGTATAAAGTATCTTGTACTTTTTGTAGACATACATCACTACATTCCTCTAGATGGCGCACTTGTATTGTTTCACTCTGCTATTACATAACTTTGTGCTCGGACAGAGACTTGTTTTGTAGCATTTTTACCACTTTTTTAAGGCAAATATGAAATCACAGGACTACATTTTAATAGAACAAAACTGCTGTAAGAAATAAACAGAAAAGGCTTCTAAGTGTTATTAGTATATTATTCTGGGACTAGAGATACCAGATTTCTTTATTTAAATTGTAAAAAATATATATCATCTGTATTTGTGAGTGTATGTATTCTTTCTAGAACATATGAGTGTAAATACATTATGTGCTTATTGGATACTAGCCTTAAGGTAAGATAGATCCAAATAATTAAAATAATAATCTCTGCTTTACTACGTGATTAGAGTTCTCCAAGGTAATGCATCAATCAATAGTAAAAGTACTTTACAGCATCATTCTAAATGTTAAATGTACTTAACCCTGTTTTACTTTTACTGAAATAATCCCACAGGATTATTTTTTTTCTTGCTGTAACACTAAAGCAAATATGTCCCTGTGTTCAGAAGATGTGACACAGGTGACGCTGCAGCACACTCACAAACATCAGCAGACACTTGTTCTCCCTGATGGCTCCGCAGCAGCCCAGGAAGCCCAGCAGGAACAGCATGCTGCCCATGGCCAGGATGACGTAGACCCCGGTGAACAGCACCGGGTTGGCCGCCACGATCTCCCTGAAGCCCATCGGGTCCACCAGCACCCAGACACCCACACCCAGCAGGAAGGAGCCCCCCAGCTGGGAGAGAGAGGGCTCAATGTTCAGTTATTAAGACAACTTTCCCCTGTCACAATAACTTATTTTGTTGGAAAATATATGGTGCCAGAAAAAAATTCAATAAAGGTATATAATTAATGACCATTTGATGACACCAATGTAATGAAAATATAATAGGAAAATAATGCAAACACATGATTTAAAAGAACAATTAACTTTGAATTCTTTAGAATATTAAAACATTTGAGTTAGAATATGAGAAATATAAAAATATTCTAAATAAATAAAATATAACACAACTAAAACAATAAATCAAATGGCAATTCTGGCACAATGGAGGGATGTTGACCACTGTAAAAATATATATGGCCATTGGAAGGACGAAGTTGTGTCCTGTAAACTGTGATTTTGGGTAAAACAAATATTATGTTTGTTTTTACTTTAAAGTTAGCTCAATTAGACTGCTGGTCAAGTCTGATCTTCTAAAGTCAGATCTACAAAATGTAGTCCCTGTTGTGATAGACTGCAGTTCAATCTCACACAGGCTCCGCCCTCTACTGGATTCTATGGGTACTACTCTCATCAATGATATGCTAACGTTCACACACTGAAGTTGTATAAACGTAGCCTGCCAATCGGGGTGACAGAGTTCCCGTTAGCCGGTAATTACCGGACTATGACCGGTAAAATATGCTGAAGACCGGCAAATCTAAATCTCTCCGGTCAAAGTGTCCGGTCAAAATAATTTCAATTTAGCGCAATACCGTATCAGTTGCGCAACTTGCACCACTTATGTGACAGACAAAAGAGTATGTGACAGACAAGAATAGCCAATTCTAATGTCTAATGCTTAATATGAGAAAGAGATGTCCTGTATGGGATGATTGTGCGTTGATCTGTTGGTAATGCCTCCGGTGAGCATGTAAACAAATGCATAATGCTGCGCTATACTTTGCGGCCTTACCCGGTTGCATAGCGACGCTTACTGTTTAGGTGTCTTTTAATAAGCAGGTAGTCATATCATTAGCTAGAACTAGCTAGATCTGATTGATATGGACATAAGCGCGAGTAAAGTCTAATCTGACGGGAGAGAGAGAGATCAGCTGCTGCTGACGAATCGACACGCAGCTCTGCATAATCACATGCAGCGGTGAGCTGAGCAAAACACACACTTCAGGTTAGAATATCACACGTTGCTATTTTAATTAACTCTCAAACTAATAAAGTAGTTATAGATATGTTTAGCTTTACTGTTGGGTCACTCATTACTGATCAGCGAGCTGCATGATACTGACGAGCTGTCAGTGGCGGCCGGCCCATAGGGGCGCTAGGGGCGCCGCCTCCCCTCTTCCCACATGTTTGATTGTCATTAAAAAAAATAAAAAATATATATTTCCAAAAAATATTTTTTTTATTTGTATTTGTATTTTTAAAGAACAAGGTAAATATGATATAGTTGGTATCAGTAAAATGTATAATCTACAATAAAATCTCGTTTAAAATTGTTTTACGATGTCTAAAGTTACTGATAAGTCACATGTTTCCTACCTGGCCGCAGCGTGTATCATTACTCTGATGTTGATGTGTTTTGTACGTTTTACAATTAGATGTCGAGGCGGCTAGGTGTGTGGCCTGATGTGGAGCGTCTTCGTCGGTAGGGGATGACATCGCAGTGGACCTATGCTCAGATTTGTTGGTGTCAGTCCCGACTTTCCCGCGGGAAACTCGTAGTCTAGACTCTGGCGACTACCGACTTTATACCAAGCTGCGTATCAAACTTGTCTATCTTGTAGTCGAACAACCGACGTGCGAGGACCTATCCGAGGTAAAGGATGGATCTGGGAGGTCTTTTTGCAGCTAGACGCAGCGTCTTACTGGCCGTATTAGTCGTTTTTACCGCGTTTAAAATTTTTCGGCGTATAATAGTTTTCCGGCGTTTAGGGCGTAAAAGGTTGTTTCAACTCTTTTTTTTTTTTTTTCATTGGAAGAACTGCCCTGCAGGTAAGTCGGCGCGTAGTGTCTTTACCATTATGTTTGTGCTCTCCAGCTTGCGAACCTACGAGTGTGCTTTCTCTTACTACTTTTTTAGTTAGGTAGAGAATGGACCTGCTTGTAAGTGATTTCTTGGCCGTTTTTCACCCCCTTGATAAGCGTGGGGCACGTTTGGACACCACAACCTCGTTTCTCTTTTAGCTGCACTGCTGGGTGAACTAAGTACGTTTGTAAGCTTTTCCGAAAGACGACGACGCCTGTTCTTTCGGTTTGTTGCGTCCAACGTGACTCGTTAGTTGGAGGTTTTGGAAGCTCCGATCGTTCTTTGCTTCACTATGGATGTTCTCTTCGACAGTCTATTGCTTGCTCATTTCTTTTGTCTTACCTCCGCCTTTCCCACACACCCCCCCAGACCACACACCACCCCACTTATTTATCGGTTAACGTGTTGAAATTAGACAATTACTTTCTCTTCCCATTTGCATCACCCGTCCACCACTCTCTCTTTAGTCTTATTCTGTGGGTTATGATTTTTTACAATACATAAAAAGGCGCGTATCTCGTATAAAGCGTGAAGGGGTATAAAGCGGTGAAAGGACGCGTTACAGTGGCGTATTTTAGTGTATTTTTTTGGGCGTACAATTAGTGTATCTAGTTCCTTAAATCGGGGTATTAGTTCCTTATCGGGCGTATTGTCCTTAAAAAACGGCGACAAGAGACCTCCAGATAGCATGGGCGGTGNCATTAACCGTGCTTAACCTGAACCTCATCATGACACTAGAGAGGACGGCATCTGGTGTCTTGCCTCTGTTGCATTCACTGAACACGGGAAATTACAATCCTGCCGTCCTCTCTAGTGTCATGATGAGGTTCAGGTTAAGCACGGTTAATGTATTATATTATTGATTCAATAATATAATACATGAATTTGAGAGTAGGCAATCTAGGCATATTAACACAATTAATTAAACATATTTATCACGGCGACGGTGTACTGAGATTATTATTATTTATTTATTTTTTGCTAGGGGCCCCCTAGTGGCTGTTTATGTCGCTTAATGGGTCGGGCCGGCTCTGGTTAAAACATATAAAAAACAACAACAACACTGATTGTAATGGGTTCAACAGTGAAGAGTGTGCAGTATATCGGCTGTGTTATTCAGTCACAAAAGATACATGAGGCTTTTCTTATTTCTCTAATTTCCCCTCCTCGACTCCTCGAATCCTCTGTCCTCCGGTAATGACCCGGAAATGGATTTCAGCGCGTCATGTTGAAGGTAATCTAATTTCTCTAAATGCACTTCGAGGGTCGAGGATTGAGCATCAAGGAGGCTCTCTGGAGGACAAACAAAGAGTCGATATTTTTCTAAAACCATTTAGTGCCTCACATAATAAAATACACAACGGCTGTATCCTGATATATATTATTTGCTTGAGGAGCTGTAGGTGTGTGTCTGGTACAGTGTGTGTGTGTGTGTGTGTGTGTGTGTGTGTTTGTGTGTGTGTAGATGCAGCAGACAGACACGTCTCAGTTGGTTTGGTNATCAAATATAAAAGTCAGCCGAATTAGTGTTGATACTGCGAGGAGACGTATTGTGTGAAAAGAAATGTAAGATGTTGTTTAATTGCTGATATATTTATGATCCACGTCGCGTTTTTAGTGTTGGCGGCAGTTCCTCATGTTTGTCTAGATTAGAAGTCTTCTCATCAGGGCTCTATAAATAGAGAACTCCGACAGATATGTAATATTTAATGCAGCCAAACCGTGTATTACAATGCCGTTATGTGATGACTTTCAAAGAGAAAAGCAAGCACACTTGGAATGAAGTATTATTTTATTTTTAAAAAATGTTTTCAGTCTGTTTCCGGTATTTACTAATGACGATGTGATGTGTCTTATTGGAGACTTTCTGGAAAATAAATATCCTTAATTACCTCAGAATCTACACAAATCAATAACATTTATTAAAAAACATGTCACAGTTCACCTGTGTTAAACGCTTAATCTGCTTTATTCTGTATAGAATGCCGGAAAATTCAGCTTGGAGTGCTTGGAGTGCTTGGAGTTTATTAAAAAAACAGTCACAAGGGAAGTCACTGTTCAGCTGAGGACAGAGGTATTTAAGGATTTGAGATAAGGGTTGGGTGGGGTTAACAGCCTGAGTTAAAAAAAAGAAGTTACAATGCTATTTGTACTGTAGTAGTCGGAAACTTTTCTGTGTGTCATTCTAGGGGACTGTATCAAAAATATACTTTCAGTTGTTTTTTTATTTTAATTATTTTAGTGTGCCTTCATGCTTGAATGGGAAAAACACATGACAAGTAGGCCTATTGTGTTGTCACTGAACCGTTTATTTCCACCTTTCACCAACATGGATAACCTTGACATGCCTGCAGTGAGTAATATGTGAACAGCGTAAAAAACTAAAACAACGTGACACTCAAGCGAGCAGAGAGCTGCTTCACCTCCTCTGCTGTCCATGTGTTACTATGGTGAAACTAGGCAGAGAGGAGCAGGGAGGGCAGGGCGCCCAAGGACACTTCATGTTTTGTCTGAGTGGGCTGATCATCCAGCACAACAAACTAGTGAAAGGCTTCGGGGAAAAGTAAAGAAAAAGATCAACACACTTGTAGACAGTGACTACTCCAGCAAGTTTTTAATTATTTAACAGAAAAAGACCTGCCCAGTGTTGCAAACTGTTTTCCAATGAAAGCAGCTAGCAGCACTAGCACCAATAATTATTGTTGGAGCTAGTGCTGCTAAATGTTAGATGCTAGCTAAGATTAATGCTTAATATAGCACAAAACTAATCTCTTTAGTCCTCCCTCCGAGCCATTCTCCGATTTTTGTTAGAGCATTTGATTAATATCGGGATGTAAACGGTACTACAACAATGATATCAAGATGTTTTTGGAAACGTTTACTCAACCCAGTTTAAACTCGAGTTGAAGAAAGTAATTATGGAATGTTAGTTTTAAACTTATTTAGGCCTATACACAACTGATCAATTGTTTAAGTGATTAA